GAACGTTAAAAACTTTTTTTGGGGGTTTTTTTTGGAAAAAAAATTTTTTCGGATATTCAATAAAACCCATATTTTTAAATTTTTTTTGGGGGAGGAGTTTTATTTTTTTCAGTTGTTGGGCAACTTTGTACTCCTTAATGATGGCCGTTACCACTTCTCTGACTATCACACTAATAGTGTTGTTGGGAACCCCCATGTGTATTGCATTTTTCTGTAGGTTTTACCAGAGGCAAGTTACCGTAGGATGATTGCCAGTTTGACACGAGGTTCCAAGTAATTGGTGTCTTTCTCTTGGTCAATCTGCAGGTCATCTTCTGCTCCACTTCATCAAACATGGCTGGGGGCATCCTCATGAAGTACAGGAAGGCTTGTGGATCCTTATACCTCAGCTCCAAAATCAGCTTGTCATAAAGTGAATGTCGAGGCCTTCTCAGTATCCACTGACTGACCCACACACCTCTGTCTCTTCTTCTCTCTCTCTTCTCCTTCTGTCAAGAGCTTGTTGCAATCTGTGGAGGTTCTTATTCTGTTGCCTGACAAGTGCACCAATCATTGAAAGTCTCTCAGCATTCATGGTAGTACAGTTTTACTGTAACTTTCAAGAATTTCGATGAAAATGAGGTCTGCAAAAAAAGGCAGCTCGATCCGAATGGGTTTCTGGTCACAATAGCCAAATTCATCGTTTGCAAAATTTTGTGCAGCTCAAACTTAAGAGGGACTGTAAGCGGTGACCAAGCGTATACGGGGTTGCCTTAACCCATAACTTCATGAGCATTTTGTGAAAAATGACTGTTTTCATTGAAAAGTCTCCCGTTACAAGTTCAAATTGCTGTAAAACTATAAAAACTGCGTCAATACTGATCAAACTTGGCACAAATCTTGACTTGACCATTGCCTTTGCAACAACATGCTCAGGCTTAAATTTCCTGTTACCATGGGAACGAGGGGACATTTCAAAATTTCCAAAAATCACTATGAGGGGGACTGCCGCCCGCTTCAAACCTCCTCAAACACAAGGGGGCACATCCCCCTTCTGGTAACCCCCTTATGTATCTCTTGGTTGGGGGCCGCGCAGAAAAAATTGTCACTTTTTTTAACAACATTTTTCAAACAAAAACAAGTGTTGGGGCCCTAAATAAGGCATTTTTTCACCATTTGAATCAACAAAAAGAGGGGGGGTTGAAAAAGGCATTTAAAGGCGTGTAAAGAGCGTAATGGGTTAACAGAAAATGATAAATACAAATGAAATTACCCAAAATCGCGTTTTTCCATGTTTTAACATGGCCTTACATATAAATTTGAAGAAATATTGTTGTTTTGTAGAATCTTTTTTTTATTTAACAGAAAATGAAAAAATACCTGAAATTACCTAAAATCGCGTTTTCCCATGTTAAAACAACGCCTAACATATAAATTTGAAGAAAAATTGCTTTTTGTAGATTATTTTTTACGGGGGCCAACGTTTGGTGAACAGTAAAGAGCAGGGATGAATTTTCTTTGCAGCTCCATGAAAGCACGAGCAAAGTCCTTGCGGTGTGACCGGGCCTTTACAAATGAAAAAATTGGCAACAATTCCATAACGCAATATATTTAACATACTACGTCATAGAAAAGGTGTTTTGCCGACATGGCAATGGAATAGAAAATGAGAACCATATGAATTGATGCAAAAAAAAACAACATGTAAATTTAACGATTCGTCATTTTTCTATTTTGTTAGAATCATAAATGTCATTCTTTGCCTTTATAAAAATACACTACTGAAGGAAACTTCTTTAATTAAATACTTCTTTAATTATATACTTCTTTCATTTGAATTGCCTGAATTTGCAATTGACCTTTTAAGGCAAATTCAAGGGCTGTCAAATCTTGAAGGTTTCATGATTTTAATTCCACCACAGATGTTAGTCTTTTTCGACTTTTATTTTTACGTTCTAAGTAAGACATAACCTTACTTTACCTAACCTTTACCTTACCCTAACCTCACCTTATCTCATCTCACCTCACCTAACTTCACTTCACATTACATTACATTAACCTTACCTCATGATAAAATGAATTAACTTGTAAGTACTTACTTTGGATATACGCAGTAGCTGCCCCTGTTTGTGAAATACTATTATTTGGAAGTGTTAGATCTACTTCGAACTGTCTAGCGTCCCGGCTTGGTTGAACTGAAGTAATCAAAAAGACAAATGACTTGATGATATAGTTTTGCATACATAGAGAGTAATTTAAAAATTTAGAGGATGATTAATATTATGAAAGAGAAATGAGTCTTCTTAATTTACTTAATATAACATTATATTCTTTCAAGATCTTGAGTAAGTATTTGATGATATTAAAATAATTTAACATTTTGGGATTTTTGTTTTTCAGTTTTAAATTATAACAAGAAACATGGCAATGCCATGAAACCAGGTTTTCAATTATCACCATTGTAGATAAATATGTTGTATTTGAAATACAAATACAAGCAACAAACAATGTAACTATGTGCAATGTAAAACATGAATAATGTAGGAGGAATTGCCACTGAAGAAGTGTTCACTATAATATTATGTATAAGGAAAAAAACAAAGGGCCATAATTAGGTCAAAAACTATCCAATCACAAAACCCCGACAATATGTGCCAGGGTGCTTGATGACAAAGCTTCTGTGAAAGTTTGAACAAAATCCGTTGAGAAATGTAGGACGAGTTCAGCAAAGAAAGAATTTGTTCACTATAATTATATTGATAATTCTGTATAATGAAAAACAAGTTACAAAGTAGACATGAAATAATATATCATATCTTTTTTAAATTACCTCCAAAGATGATATGACCTTTGACTGCCAAATCAAGTTAAAATCATGTAAACAGGATTTTCAATGTTAATGTCACTGTGACCTTGACCTTGGAGCCAGCCATGCGGAACATGCGTTCTGCACGTCATCTTGATGTGGTAAACATTTGTCTGAAGTTTCATCAAAATTCTTCAAAGGGTTGAAGAGTTACAGAGCGGACAGGATTTTCAATGTTAATGTCACTGTGACCTTGACCTTGGAGCCAGCCATGCGGAACATGCGTTCTGCACGTCATCTTGATGTGGTAAACATTTGTCTGAAGTTTCATCAAAATTCTTCAAAGGGTTGAAGAGTTACAGAGCGGACAGGATTTTCAATGTTAATGTCACTGTGACCTTGACCTTGGAGCCAGCCATGCGGAACATGCGTTCTGCACGTCATCTTGATGTGGTAAACATTTGTCTGAAGTTTCATCAAAATTCTTCAAAGGGTTGAAGAGTTACAGAGCGGACAGGATTTTCAATGTTAATGTCACTGTGACCTTGACCTTGGAGCCAGCCATGCGGAACATGCGTTCTGCACGTCATCTTGATGTGGTAAACATTTGTCTGAAGTTTCATCAAATTTCTTCAAAGGGTTGAAGAGTTACAGAGCGGACAGGATTTTCAATGTTAATGTCACTGTGACCTTGACCTTGGAGCCAGCCATGCGGAACATGCGTTCTGCACGTCATCTTGATGTGGTAAACATTTGTCTGAAGTTTCATCAAAATTCTTCAAAGGGTTGAAGAGTTACAGAGCGGACAGGATTTTCAATGTTAATGTCACTGTGACCTTGACCTTGGAGCCAGCCATGCGGAACATGCGTTCTGCACGTCATCTTGATGTGGTAAACATTTGTCTGAAGTTTCATCAAAATTCTTCAAAGGGTTGAAGAGTTACAGAGCGGACACAATTTCGTTTGACGCCCGCCCATCCGCCCATCCGCCCATTCGCCCATCCGCCCATCCGCCCGCCATACCCCAATCTAATAACCAGGATTTTCAAAATTGAAAACCTGGTTAATAAACGTCAACTGAGTAATTAATGACATACATAAATTATAAATATCTTTCAGAATTCATCGGTAATGTTCCATAAATAAAAAGAGTGGGGGCAATTTCTTATGGTTCAGTTATTTGTAATATTTTATCCTTAACATTTTGTAATTATCAATAATTGTTTAATCACCATTAAATTAGTCAAGCTTTTGAAATATACAACTAATTAATCCCAGTTTGACAGAAAAGAAGTTAAATATCACTTTACTAAATTTGTATCTTTTCTTGTCATAATAAAAGAGTAATTCTTATAGATAAGTGGATAATATATTTCCTTTTTATTATTCAAGAAAAATCGTCCAGATGTGTCACACAGTAGATAAAGGTGATTCAGACATAGGAAAGGCTCCCCGAAAGCAAAAAAAAAAAAATTAATGTTGTAAGTGAATATCTGTCACAGACACTAGATATGAAAATAAAATAAATGAACTAGCATCAAGTTGTAAAATAATATCTACTTAGAACAAAATAACAATCTAACACGCAGTGATCTCCCCTTACAGGATAAGCGATGCCTAGAGTTTGACAAAAATAAAACTGAATACATGAAATGAGTGGGTTAAAAGGAAAGATGAAATTGTTGACACTTAATTAGTACAGTTACCACTAACTTACAGTCTTTAACTACACGAATATCATTTTTACAATCGTCTCTCTGTCTCATTGGATCTAAACACACAACAATTGTTATTTTTTCTTCTATACCCTCATTCTGAAATATAGAACAGGGAAAAGGGTGTAAAGATTTGTTTTAAATTTCTATGAGTACTTATTTATTCTTATTTTCCAGTATTAAAACATATTTTTACCTTTGGGTCGACGAGATGTTTACAAACAAAACCCACAATACAGTTCTTTGTTGTAGGTGCGCGATGACGTATTATCCTATCATACTTGAATGATAAACAAATGTGACAGTAAGACTTTGATGGATAATCCTAGTTTTGAAAAATATATTTGCTTTAAATTTCATCTTAAATCGCATAACTGCTTCCTGTTTGTACCTTTATTATTAACAAATACATAGTGATTTGATATGAAATTATCTGAAGTCATTCAGTATTTGAAAGCAACGTTTCCATTCTCAATCGGAACAAATCAGCGATTGCTTCAGAAAAGTTGCGATTACCCCGTTGTCGGAATACCTGGCCGATTATCAGTGAGTTAAATTTTAATCGCGGCGACCATGAACAACAAAAAGCACTGGCAAATTTTACTATAGGTATAAAAATCTATTAGAAATGCATTTTAATTGAATTCTTTTTATATATAAACGTGTAGTCTAAAGTCGTACAAGCCAAAGCCTTTGACTTCCCCGCATTAAGTATTTTAAATTTGCATAATCAGTAAAACATGTTTTACTCTATAAAACGTTTGTCAACAAAGCTTACTACAACGAATAATTTCTTTTCAATGACGTCAATTTGCGGTCCTCCTACTTCCGTAACCATGGCGGACACTTTTACCGAAAACAGACCGTCTTTTAAAGGTATCATGGGAAAGGTTACGATTTGTGCGCTATTTGGCGGGAGCTCAACTTTGACTCGAGGTGATGGTTTCCCTGGGTCGCTGTTATAACACAAATGTGGAACTCCGTGCAGGTAAACATTTGCCTAAAATGATACATTACTTTTATGAGTAATATGCAAATTATCTATTCCTTAATGCGCATATTAGTATGTGAATTTCGGGATCTAAACAAGAAACAATCATCTCAGATTTTAAACCAGTAATAGACAATATAAATTAATCAACATTAACATGTGGAAGTGTGAAATGGATTTTCACAACTTCGAATTTGGGATCTTCAATGTTGATAAGATTTCAAAAGCGAAATCCCCCAAAAAATAAACTTCAAACAGTTTTAGCATGGTCTGAAGACTGATCAGGGCAAGAATACTCACTTCCGGTTCAAGCAGGATTAAGTATGATAATGCAACTGTATCACTGTAATAAACTCTTAAAATATAAGCACAAAAAGGAATGTATTTGCACAATTTTAATGCGTTAACTAGCAGAAAATGAAAACGTTTACTAGCACATTATAAATACGTACATAGCACATTATTTTTGCGTAAACTAGAACATTATAAAATCGTTAAAAACACATTATTATTACGTTGACTTGCATAATATTATCATTAATGCGTAAACTAGCACATTTTAACACATTAACAATCACATTATTAATGCGTTCACTAGCACATTATTAATACATTAACTAACACATTATTAAAGCGTTAACTAACACATTATTTATATGTTAACATGCACATTTTTAATACGTTAACTTGCACATTATTAATAAAGTAACTAACACCTTGTCAAAACGTTTACTAGCACATTATTAAAGCGTTAACTAAAAAATTATTAATATGCTAACTAGCACATTTTCAATACGTTAACTAGCACATTATTAATAAGTTAACTAACACCTTGTCAATACGTTTACTAGCATATTATTAGTGCGTTAACTAACACATTATTAATATGTTAACTAGCACATTTTCAATACGTTAACTAGCATATTATTAATAAGTTATCTAACACCTTGTCAATACATTCACTAGCACATTATTAATGCGTTAACAAGCTAATTATCAATATGTTTACTAGCATATTATTAATACATTTTCTAGCACATCATTATTACGTTTTCTAGCACATTATTAATGCGTTCACTAGCACATTATTAATGCATTAACTAACACATTATTAAAGCGTTTACTAGCACAGAATGAGTGTGTTAACTTTCACTTTCTTTATTCGTTGACTAGCACAATATTAATACGTTGATTAGCACAATATTATACGTTCACTAGCACATTATTAATGCTTTAAAGTAGCACGCCTCCAGATTCTCGATTAATTTCATGAACATTTTGAAAATGTATTTAAATGTGTAATATTGTGAAGTAACCTACTTGAAGCAAGTTACTCTTTAATAATGGCACTTACAAACCACGTTTATTACCAAAAAGTGGTCTAAATATGCATAAATAGCCTCTACTGCGTTAGTAACGCAGTAGAAAAAAAAATGTTAACTATGAAAAATTAGTCATTAATCGCACAAGTATATGTAAACTATGACTTGAATCTTGAAACTCTTTATGTTTCCGTACATCTTAGTACATGTTACTCAAGTTTGATTTGATTGAAGTATTTTGACTCATCTGGAGGCATGTAGCTTTAACTAGTACATTAATAATACGTTTACTAGTTCATTATTGAAGCATTAACTATATATCTCACTCAACGATTTTGTGAAGATATTCAAATAATTCACTCATATTCCTATCAACTTAAAATTGTAAAGGATTGTTAAATACTGGTTTTACAAAATCATACTCACCACTTTATTTGCATCCCCCTGCATACCGTAATTAAATATCGTTGCTTTCACATTAAAATGTTCCAAACGAGATGCTTTGTACGGAAGATCCAGTTGAATGAAAAAATTTCTGAACGCCTTGAAATCTAAAGGGTCAGCAATACACATACCTTCATTTTTCGTAATACCTGCAATATTTTAACCTAGCATTGTTGAATCTGAAATAGCACCCGGTGAAAATTGCGTGGCGGCATTTAGTAAATGCGCCGGTCTAGTAATCTAAGGGTCGCTTGCCGTGTGGGTTCAAACAAGAAACAAGTCGTTGTTTCCCACAGCAAGAAACTTTACACTTATCGCTCAGTACTGGTTTGTTTCAGGAACGGATTCGAGAGTTTGTCAAATAAGCGTATAAATTCCTATGCAATCGAACCAATAAACCGTGAGTTTATATTGAATTAACATTTACAGAACCTCGACTAAAACCCAAAAGCCTAGAAACATAAAATTTATATTTTCCAACTATGATCAATGGGGGACTTAAAACAAAATATATGCAGAAAATGAATAAGAAATTTGCTAGGAAATGAAAATTGAAAATCGTATTATTATGTAATTTTTGTCCCAAAAAAGAGTTGCAATACTTGTCATTCTTGGGTAATTTTTAAGATAAGAATGCTTATTCTGAAAATACCGGGAGAAGGAATGATCTGAAATTTTGCACACAAGTTATTGCTCTAGAAATCGATGAAATATATTACATACGGAAAGTTATGTTGTTGTTGCTTTCTGAGACTTTGTATTTTGCTAAGAGCAGCGTAGGAAAATTGATATCACCCCATGCTACGAGGAACGAAATGCATGACCTCAGAAAAACTACTACAACATAATTATCCTTTTATTACATACCTGTTTTTAGAAAAAAAAGACTTTTAATATGCTTAACTTCATACTTACCTTCTTTTAGTTATATCAGAAACAGAAATATAGCTGTCAAGTAATGAAATTAAGAAATGACGGATCAATACGTTATTTTTGCAAAAGAGGCCACGACCTATTTAGTTCAAAATGCTAAGAATGGTAGTCAACGAGAGAAAAAATATATATAGTATTTGTCACTAAAATCATTGAGTCTTTTATCTAATGAAGCGTATTAACACATACAAATCGCGTGTTTTTTAAGTTAAAAATATACGCATTTAATAAAAGACAATACGTAGCAAAATATCATCTTTAAACTTGATATTTAAAAAAAACAACGAAAACATAGGACTAGTTTGTTTTTGAAACGGAAAGTGTTAAAGAGAAAACTATACATTTATATTTTAACAGTCTTCTACCGTATTTAGTCACACATGACCACGGGTAAGAATAAAATGATATTCATAATGTCCTGTCGTGTACATGCTTTTATTACATCACGTATATCATTTCGTAGTATTAATTATGACCGTTACCAACTTACCAATAGCCTGTATTCTCCATTCTGTTATAGAGTCTGGAACGTTGAGCATCGTCTTTTTCTGGCCTTTTCTAAAATTCACAAGCAATAACAAATTTATCATATCAGCGGTTTTTGTTATAGGACGAGTTTGAAAAAAGGTTTTTATAAACCTTTTCTTACAAAGCTTTAATAAATTTAAACCGTAAAATGATAACAAATGTGTTTACATGCCAACATATGAACTTCATTGTTGGGAAATTTCTTAACGTCACTAATTTGTGACAATGAATATAAGGGTAACATATAACGATTGTATCATAGTTTTGGGACCTTTATGTTGAAAATATGTCAGAATTAGATCGTAAACATATACATGCACAGTGCGTTAACTGTAAAGTTACCCGCACTCTAGAGCATGCCTATTGATTGGCTCATCTTTTCTGGGGTTTACTTATTGTGACGGCAGAGAAAAGGAAAGCGATAAAAATATCATATTCAGATGCTCAGTGATTGGTTGCTTTTTTCTGGGGTTTCCCTCGTACAAATCAGATAGCATCGTGTTTCAATGCTCTTTCTATAACTAATACAACACAAGACAGAAACAATGCTGCCGATAAATGCGTGCAAGGATATCCTCTTGATAAATGTGTGTGCCTCAATCCAGACATGGCTGATTCGAAACCCAAGCAGTTTACGACCATGTTTCCTTACATAACACCGGTGTTGGCTTGTACCAGGCAATATATTCGAGATGGCCCAGTTAACCAACAAACTTTCTTCAAGGTCCAAAGGAAATGAAAATGAAAAAAAAATTCCAACAAAGCTAATAACGCCGATTTTGCTGGTATTATTTCCTCTTTGACCTGTTAATTTGAGGAATGGATTTGCTAAGCTTTCTTTTCCGAAAACTGTCCATGTGCAGGCTGACCTGACTCTATACTTGTAGCAAAGGTTAATCACATGTAATTAGTTAAAGCCCTAATTAAGCTTTTTCCAAGATAAATTACTGAAACATCACAGAAAATAAAAGCTGAAGGCAACTGTAAGGGTAAAATTTGAACCCTAGATGACTCACACGTCCAGACTTAAGACATCAAATAGCCAAGATTCGTGGAAATTTTTCCTAGTTTTACTTGGTATACCCAGGTTAGCCAAGCTCGCGATGTCCTCCAAATAGTCACTTTCGTCATCCAATGATTTTGAAGTTATCGATGTTTTATCTGTAATGAGAAACAACTTTTTAGAATTATTTATTTTAGGGCTGTCATTTAATATCGCAATATCGATATAGCATCAATATTCATTATCCGACACAAATATTGTTACATGTACACAATTTCAAATAACGATACAAGCTAAAATTTATTTCTGTTAGTAAATGAACCTCTCTATTTTGCATAATAAGAGAAGTAACTTTTTCCAGCGCTCTTGGCTTACTTGAACTTTTAACTCCGTGACAAAAATAGAAATAACAAACTTTCTGTTAGTTTGTAGTATGTAGTATTTGTAATGTCTAATACAAGCATGAATAACACCATGCTCGAAATTTATAACACAGGTTAAAGTATGTTTCATTGTATCTACTGTCAAAGTCGATATATCGTCGATTTTGTCTCTTGATATATAGACACAAACTTTTCCTTCAATTACAGCTATATTTATTTTACAATACAAACAACTGATTAGTTGTTGATATTTTAACAAGGTACATGACCCTATATAAACGGTAGTATAATATGACGACATTCATTACAACCTCGAAATTTTCTCATTTGTTTAAAAACTTTAAATAAAAAGATAATCATCGCAAAATTGTGTAGCAGCCTTCTAATTAATTAGTATTAAAGTTTCGACAGTTATGTTGCCCTTAATAACACTGCACGTTTGTAACTTGCTTTTCATTAGATAATCATGACGTTCCTATGAACTTTATCCACTTTGTACGTAAACGTCACAATATACAGTCCATATATTGCTTGATTTAAGTCTGGTCATGCACATGTATCAATGACATATTGTTTAACCTATGGAAATCTGTTATTGACTTGTAATGAACTGAACGAACTAACGCCTTTGAACAGAATTAAATGTTGAAAACGTTACGATCTCTAATGGTTACACATGCACATGTTGGCAACAAAATTGACTTATGGCCTCCATGGCTAAGTTTTTAAGACGACTGACGACGTCTAATCACCAGCAGGCCACCGCTGTAGGTTAAAATCTGACATAAGCTTTGAATATTTTCATGTGAGGAAGTTGTTAAAGTTAGGTAATTGAATGAGTGTAGTCATACGCAGCTGCAATATGTATCAGAAATAAAGCACGGTCTGTGCGTCATAAATAATGTACGGTCTGTGTACAAAAATAATGCACAATAAGTGTATTAAAAATAATGCATGGTCTGTGTATCAAAAATAATGCATGGTCTGTGCATGCATCATTAATAATGCACGGTCTGTGTTTCATTAATAATGCATGGTATGTGTATCAAATATAATGCACGGTCTGTGCATGCATCATTAATAATGCACGGCATGTGTTTCATTAATAATGCATGGTCTGTGTATCAAAAGTAATGCGCGGTACATGTATCATAAATAATGCACAGTCTATGAATAAGAAATAATGCACAGTCTTTGTAGGTTTAAAATATAATGCACTGTATGTGTATGTTTTATTAATATTGCACTGTCGTTGTTTCTAAAATAATGAACGTCTGTGTATGCATAAAAATAATGCATGGTATTTGTATAATAAAAAATGCTAGGTATGTGTATAAAAATAATTCACGGTATGTGTATGTATAAAAATAATACACGGTATGTGTTTGTATAAAAATTGTGCACGGTATGTGTATCATAAATAATGAACAAAATAATTCCTCACCAGTATCACTAAAATGTCGCAATGTGACTAAAAGGGTGTCGGTATTCATTGTAATAGTGAAAATTCACTATAATTTACAGTACAAATGCTCAGCAGGGTCGGTACTAACCAGTAATAAGATATTGCAGCTCATCTATACAAGATTTAAAGAACGCCATGACGCATTTGATCGAGAGCTTCTTTTCCTTCGTCAATTTTAGTGCTCTAGGGTAGCAACTTGCGTATGGATTCATGCCCGCTGGGTTATCTGACTCATATAAAAGCTCTTCCGCCAAGTCGAATCCTCCTTGACAACATGTTTCAGTAGCACCATATAAACATGCTAAAAACAAATTTGCTCAACATTTAATACTGAACACATAATCTGAAGCAAAACTATTTTGTTTCCTTTACTCAAAAATCAATACATTTTCTGAAACAGAACTATACGGTTTCCTGTACACAAACAAAAACACAATACACAATCTGGGACAGAACTTTATTGTTTCTTGTAAACAAATATCAATATAAAATCTGATACAGAACTATATTGTTTAATTTACACAAACATCAATACAAAATCTGAAACAGAACTTTATTGTTTCCTGTTCACAAAATTATATTGCTTCCTGTACACAAAAATCAATACACTATCTGAAACAGAACTATATTGTTTCTGAAAACAAATATCAATATAAAATCTGAAACAGAACTATATTGTGCCATTAAAACAAACATCTAAACAAAATCTGAAAGAGAACTTTAATGTTTCCTGTACACAAAAATTATTACACATAAATAAATTCGATCTGAAATAGAACAATATTGTTTCCTTTGACAAAAGTCAATACACAATCTGAAATAAAAGTAAATTGTTTAAATATTTAAACGCGAAATATAACTCAAATGGCAGTAAATTACAGCCAATGTTAATATGAAACAGACTTGAACAAAAAATAGCGTTAAACCAGGTGACGCCGAGTTTACCTTGAAGGAATATCAAATGTGTTGGCTTGTCTTCGGATTCACTCAGAATCACGATCCTGGGGTACAAAAACATTGTGTCTTAATGCGTTCACCACCGTTTAGGATCTTATAAAACATAGTTGGTTTTAAAATATAAAACAATCTTTGTATACTTAGTTCAAAGTAAAACCGAGCTTTCACTTACAGTCGCCATCTCTTCGTTTCCTGGTATTTGCCTTGCAGCCGTCAGTGGTCCGTGTTATATCATTTTCATCCACAACAGCGTTAGTCAACACGGTCAGGCCGGAATTCTGACATAACAATATATGTTTTGAAATAATGTAACTCCATGTCTTTAATGAATCATAAAAATATTCATATAGAATCTATTAATTTCTTAATCTACACGGTTATAAAAAGGATTAAAGACTTACGGATTCAACAAAGTTTGGAGACTGAATGACATTATTGTTTTACTTTTCGACAAGATAATAAAATATGTATGCCATTGAGATATCTACGGTGGCACACAGGCGAAATGTGTGTCTTTGTATTAATCTCGTGCGCACGAGATACCTATAACGAGTTACTTAGTCGTGTTAAGTCGCGGGAACAAGATACTATGTCGGGCCCTCGAGATTAAAAGGTCGTGAGCACGAGATCTCTTGGCTACGAGATACCATGTCGATGTAACATGTTACTTAGGTCGGTTCGAGATAAGTTAGTCGTTAGAACGAGATACTCTGTCGTGGCCACGAGTAACTAAGTCGTGGACACGAGATAATTAGGTCTTAGGAACGAGATACTATGTCGTGGCCATCAGGTACTATGAAGTGTCTACGAGACCACGAGTTAATTTAGCGGTGCGCACGAGATACTCTGTCGTGGCCACGAGTTACTTAGTCGGGGCCACAAGTTACTAAGTTGTGGAAACGAGACAACTTAGTCGTGTGCACCAGAAAATCAACCAATCAGATTACACTATAATTATATGTATGTATTTTTTAAACTTAGAAATATTTGTGTTTAAGTGTTACATGCAGCATTAATTATGATTGTACATCTAAAATTTTCACAAAGAAAAACAAGTCAGAAATTTCAAAGATAATATTTTATTAGGTTAATAAATTATCATGAATTATCACTTGATAACTACAATATTGGTCATCATTTTTTAACTATAAAATGATATACTAATCAATTCACAAAGGATTATTAATCATGATTATATTTACAAAAACGCAGTACGTATTAATATAACTAAATGCAATAAAACTTATTGCAAAACAAAATGGGCCAGGGTGGGAAGGCAAAAAGACTTGAAACGTGATCACAACTACAAAATAGGTTACAGAATGGCGCGCATGAGAAAATAACCTTTATGTAGGAAGCTAAATAGCCTATCAACTTCAAGAGTACACATTTAAATTAATCCAATGATTAGTAAAAAAAATAAATAAAACGTAGACCAACGAGATAAGCTGATATAATCAGAGGTAAACATGATTAAAAAAAACTTTATCACTCACAAGAATTAATTGATTTTAACAGATGTATTAAAATACGCTAAATAATTGTTCTTTTTTAAATTTAAACAGAGAAAAACCAAGCCAGAATTTTCATATATATTCTAAACAACAATAAATATCATTATTCATCATCATTCAGTTAATGTCTTACAGTGATCAAGCCATTAAATCTCGAATTCACATTCAATTTGAAAAAAAATGTGTTCATTCGAGTTTACACACAATTCGCTTAATACTGTTCTGTGTCTAGGAAAACGCCAGATATCATTTTCTCTAGAAAAAAAACAAAGAAATAACTAATTGTCCATATTCCAGAAAAACGTCAAATTCCAATCTCTCTAGAATGAAATACTCCAGTTTGAAATTTTACCTTGTTAAGTATACAACTGAGTTCATAAATTCTTATCAATTAATTAACAAATACAAATATATGAAATATCAAGAACAAAACTTTTCTAGGAAAACGTGACGTACAATTTGCACCAGTAATATTTTCTCCAAGGTATTAGATTTTAACTTGTAAAAAAAAGATAGCTAACTTGATAAGAATCTTTTTCAAGATAAACACCCTAAAATAAAATTCAAACATTTCTGCCCCCACTGTCAATAGGATAATCAATCTACAGATAATGCAAAGGACATGTTACAAAACCAACGAATGTATGGATAAGAGTAATCCATAAGCCCCTCTTTAAAAAAGGGAGCTAAAGGCACAACCTTAACAATAACATATAAGCAACAGTATTGATAAAAATTTCCCTTAACCGCCTTGTGCCCTCTTAGTTCAAAAGTAAGCCTCCATCTTTAATAGCAAACAATTCTATAAAAGGAAAGTTAGCTTTCATGAATGGGCAAAAAGACATCAAAAATTTTGATTTTCTTATCTTTACAAATATATTCCAGAGTTAAATTAACCGTTTTGACTTTCGCGCAAGTACAAACAAAGTCAATTGGACGAGACAAAATTGATTACTTATAAATAGTATCAAATTGACCAGTAAAAGATTTCACAACTGAAATTCAATTTGAATACAAAGAAGAAATTTCTCCAGCAGATGAACTATTAATGTCATTGGTACCCATATGAATAATGATAATATCATAATTCAAATTAACTGCTCCTTTGGCTAATTGTGTAATCAATTGTGCACGAATATCAGTGTCCAAAATATCATACACATGCTTGTCAATAGAATAGGAAATGAAGATACATTTCTTGATTTTTGGATTTCTAAGACGATTTAAACGGGAAACTGAAGAAAAAAGTATAAATGAACATAAAAACTTTATCACATGTACATTAATGTGAATAACAAAAACAAAACAAAAAAGAGAGCACAAAGATGAATACACATATTTCTTTCGCTAAAAGAATTAAACGCCTAATTAATTGTCATGCATTACAATACTAAATAACATATTACAACTTAACTTCGTATAAAGAGACATCTTTATGAAATCTACCTATCAAACATTTTTTGGTCAAGGTCAACAGGCCATATAGTAAATGTGCATAGACATAGGGACTTCATTCTATCTGTTTACATGCATCTTCATATATACTCATATTCCTCTTTGTTAAACTGAGAGAACTGGCTTCCATAACTTTATACATGTATGTCACTTTTATTTTGATGTTCGCTGAAGTCTTTTCAACTAACAGAACTGTCAATTTTACATTTAAACACACCCCTGGAAAAAATTACGAAGCGAGTCGCTACTAGCTTTTTTAAAAGCTAACCTTGTCTACCTTTTAAGTAGGAATATCCTTAAGCATAATTATGATTATATGCAGTAACAGGACATAATATAGAAGGATACAGCTTAATAATAGGGGTTTGTAGCAAGCGTTGACAAAATTGAATAGTTTAAGACCATCTAAAAGTAACACAAAGATTTAACCCAATGGTACACACATCATAACTTAATAAAAATGTTTAACTTCCAAATCTGCCTTGCTAGTAGGAACTAAATTTGACTATCTAGCTACCAAGAAAAAGGCAGTTAAGAATACACACCAGAAAACTGAATCATCAGAATTGTCAAAATTCAATAAACCATAATCTGACTTAAAATCAGAGGTGAGATGGCTTCGACTTGTTTGACCGAATGTTGTTTAATCCGTGTTAAACACGTTAAAGACAATTTAATGAGGAACTGATTAAAATTATTTAATGAATATCTTAAGAATAAATGCATAGATCTTACTTTACTCAGATGTTTCGAATACTGCCCACTCACATATTTAAAGACTGAGCATATAACTGTAAAGTGTAAGTATGCCCTTGCAAATACTTATAATAAAAATATAAACATAACAAAACATAAGATTCTCATTGGATCCTCAAATTTATTTGAGAACAAGCCGCATAAGTTGACAAATTTGTAAACTTAAGGTCGTGTTTTAACTTTATTAGTTCTTTTTTCAGAAAGAGAGAAGAAAAAGAAAAATATATGTTTACATAATTACCAATCATTTAATAATTCACCAGGCACAGAATATTCTCGGGTACTACATGTAACATCTCTGGTCAAAAACAAAAGAAATGTATCACTCAAATGCAATTTAGAAAGAGAGTATGTCAACCTATTTTGAATAAATAGGCTGTTTTAATTTCACATTCATAAATGGCAGCGATATAACAAACTTTTCTTAAACCATTTTGAAATAATTAAGACCTTGATGTACCAGTACTCAAGACTTAACAAACAGATGAATTTTCACAAAATATTACAATACGTTTACCTTTAGGATGATTGCCTCATAATTAAAGAGCATCCACAATAGCAAATAAATCCAATAAGCCAATATCAAATTGCTGTTGTTTGATAAAATCTGGAAATTTTGTACGGAAAAAAAATCGAAGTAACCACCGAAGCCATATAAACAAATATCAGTTGAAAACACACCATCTTGCTTTGACCAATCATCATACAACATAATGGATATTCCATTATAAACAGGTAAAAACCGAATGCACCAGTATACAACTTTTAAAAACATAATCAGGAATTACAATTTCCATATGTTGATAGACATCATGAATTGATCTTAACCAGTTCAACAATCTACTTATAAAAATACGACCTGGCCTAACACAGGCTGTAACAAAACAAAGTTTACCAATAAGAGATTGTAATTCTCTAAGAGTAGCTTTGACTTAAGTAACCATGAAATTATCAAACTTTTAATTTCATCTAACCTTTCATAAGTTACCTCCATAGTCAAGGAGTTTGTATTAAACAAAACTCCTAAAAAACCCATTTCTTCAGAGGGTGTATAAGCGCCTCTGTTTCGTAAAGAAAGAAAGGCAAACTAAGCTTTATCACTAGATTCAACACCCGCTTTATCATCTAAATTATTTAATATGGACATTCCTAAACGAAACATCATAAAAGATATAGCAGTAGTGACACTTTGACAAATAGCTGCAGCATTCCTCAAACCCATTGATAACACCGTATCAAAAATGTGTTTTTTCTATTGATAACACACCAAATTATAATCACCAGGACATATATGGATCTGCCTATAAACTTTATGTAAATCTGATCTATACATCAAACAATTCTTACCCTTACCTTTTATCAAATTCATAAAATCACCAATCCTTGAAAATACTAAATTAATTTCTTCCCCCAAATAGAAATCCTTTTTTATAAAATCATGTACCTGCAGAATCTTTAGGAAAAATTAACTCTTCTTCCAGATGTATATTTTTTGGGAACTGAATTAAGAGAAGATATTTTCATGGAATCACTAAAAATATTAAACTTAAAAGGTCTAATGATTGATTTATTATATTTTTCCTTCCCTAAATAACATGTTATTTTGTAGGGAAATAATTCAGCATCATTATGATTCTTATACTTCCATATATTTTTAGTGAATGAATTCACATCACCATGAAAATCTAGGGAAAACCATACAATAATAAATCTACACCCAAAGTGTATCTATAACCATTTTTTTTATTCTGTTCCAAAATTTAACATGTATTTTATTAGTGACAGAGGGAGTACAACAACCTAAAAATTTGCAAGCCTGAGCTTTTAACTTTTCCATGCAAATCAGCTCCTTTTAAGGATATATATTTAAACTCTGATTTTATTATTTTACAAATATTACAATTTTTAGAATGACTACATAAAGGAACATTTACAACAACATATTTCTGATCTATTTTTTTTGTTTTTCAATTTCAACCTGTTCTAAGTTACTTTTGACTATGTGGGCAAGCACTTAAACTTTCAGGATGTTCTAAATTCATGTTAACCTTCAACCAATATTTGTCTTCCCTTTTCTACCATTAAATGCGAAGTAGAATTATGTAGTCATTTATTCTTTTGATAAAACGGGCAAAACCAGACTTTATCTTTTGCAACTAGATCTTCCTTAATTTTTAACTCGACCTTTTAGAAAAATAGTTGAGTTTTTCAAAGAAGCTCTGGCTAACACGTTGGATTCTACATGATGAAAGCCCCCCCCCCCCCCCACACACACACTTTATATGTCCTAACTCAATTCCTCTTAAAATAGCTGCGTATCATGATTTTAAAATAGTGAACTCATGTGAACTGTTCAAATACATTTAACGTTACAATAATTCTAAATTGGCTTCTTTTTCTTTCTTTTTGTTGTTGATTGAGAAAAGATTTCTAATTCCCCTGCCACGAATAGATTTTTTTCTAATGACTCAAAACCAACACTTAAATTTACATCCTCATATCTCAAAAAGGCATAAGAATACTTTTGTTGAAATTTAACATGATCTGAAGATTTTGATGAAATACCAGACTTTTGGAATATAATTGTTTTCTTATCAAAATTGCATTGGAATCTGTAGAATCATCATGATACATTTTAGATTTTTACCGGATTTTTTTCTTTTTGATTTGCAGCTTTGTTCAGAATCCGAGCTTAAGACTCAGCATCTTAGACTGAAACATTGCCTTGAGCTTAAAATTCTTTTTCTGTCTTGATTCTTGACACTAACAGGACGCTAATTCAGAAGAAAGATCGAAATTCTCGTATCTAAGTTCAGTTTAAGATTTTCTTTTTTGACTTATCTTTGTCTTCAGCCTCAGTCTGTAATTCTTCCTCTTCCCTTACCAACGACTCATGAATACTCTTTCTCGAGTAAAAGAAGTGCCTCGATATACATGCAGTATCTCGTTCCCACGACTAAATTATCTCGCGCGGCCACGACATTGTTCCCTTTCTTACGACCTAATTATCTCTTGCCCCCTACATAGTATCTCGTGCGCCCAAGATATATAAAATAAAGACACACACATGTCAACTTTGTGCCACCGTAGATATCAGTCATGACACACCCAATACAGAAATTTGTTTTAATGAAATTTGTAAAGCAAACTAGTGCCCAGCTTTATGTGTATTCCAATGAAAACTCTGTATGTCTTAGAAACTGTGTGTTACTTTTCATAGAAGAACAAAAGTTGACACTGAATCAAATTCCCTTAATGTATAGATTAAAGTTTTTCAGTACGTATTTACAAAATCAAATTGGTCAAGCGCTGCGCGACTTATTTAGTTTTGTAAAAACGTACTAATAAATTAAAAAAGCTTAGTGTTTTAAAGTATTTTATAACAGGTTGAGAATTAACCAAAGTAAATGTGTAACGATTCATTTGAATTACTGCAATCTTATTGCACAAAGAATTATTTCAAACACTAAAGTAGACTTCTTTTTCATAGTGCTTCATAGAAGCGTATTCGTAAAAACTGTCGTGACGTAATAAAGTTGATATTAATAAAGCCAAATTAAGAGTGACGCTAACACCGAAGTTGAACGCTAACACATACGTAGTGCATACAAGTTAATGTGACGACAGTCAAATGAACGTCATTTGATGCAATTAGTTTCATTTGACATTTTGATAATGTTTGACCAATTTGTTTAGTAAGATTTATTAGCGGATGTAATTTTTGTATTTTATGTTGAAGTTTGATTATTTTATTTTTTTTTTCATCTGCATCCTGCGCTCTTGAAAACACATAAAATTCCATCATAAGCCAGGTGATATATATTCCATATTCACTAACCCTAGTCTTGTTCTATATAACATGGACACTTGTTTTCTTTAACATGGACAAGTGTCTTCTATAACAAGGACACGTGTTCTCTATAATATGGGTTTGACAGGCTCTGCTTTTTGAGCACAGACGAAAGAAAAACTCTTTTCAACAAAATCATTTTCTGACCTTGAACACCTCAGCTCCTGATCTTCCACTACCTTCTCCGCAACCAAGATCATGTGACTGCAGGGTCTCGAACATCTGATAAAAATATACACAAATGTTACCAGTAATGTGACGCCTACAATTTTACAACTTAACACTTTATAGTCGTCCGGTAAGCTCAATAAGTAGAGCGCTGGACTGTAAATGTGGCAACCCGGGTTCGATTCCCGAACGGTGCAGGTCACTTTCGGTGTGACTGATCATGAAATCCTTTCTACAGTCATTCGAACTGTACCACTGTATTAGCATCTACTGTAGAAATCAGTTCCTTGCAAAAATTAAGACAACTAGTGCTGGAAAACTGCTAAACAGCTTGCACAGGAACGAGGCAGTGCCAGCTGACCTGAGCTCTAGGTAATTCAATGTGGCTTACTCTAGGTAATTCAATGTGACTTACTCTAGATAATTCAATGTGACTTACTGCCGTGATCCGGAATGAAAAATACCAACACCACTACATATGCATTTTTATAATTTCAGTCACTTAAATGACGCTTAAAGAGTATAAGCTATACACAACTGTACCTGCTTAAAATTATTGTTAAAGAAAAAAAAGAAAATTTTTAAAGAAGATTGTATGACAAAAAGCTTGTTTATTGCCAAAAGAGCGAAAGGTACATGCACTTATAATCATTTCGCAATGGTAAAAACCCTACCTAAATAGCTGCATGGTATTTTCTTTCGGAACATTTTAGTCTGTTAATGTGTAATTTTCATATGACTGTATAAAATAGCATTTTAGATGTTATTCAATAGTGCTTTTCTTGTTTATCACTTACTTTGTTCTTCCTGAGCACATTCTTATCATTCAGTAAAAGAAGAGCCTTATCAATTATGTTTAGACCCACGTGCATGAAAGGGGTTCCAGAAACAGTCAACGTATTATTGGTTCCCGGCGCAAACTCCGTCTTCTCCGTCGTTACTTTTAGCTAAAAAGTTGAAATTTAAGCTAATGTTTAAACACCACATTGTGCAGAATTAATAGAACGTATATATAAAATATTAAATCTATCTGCCATTGATAGATTCTAGTTTCAGCATACATTAATATACATGCTGTTATGGCATCACCAGAAGTGAAAAGAAACCTTACGGCTGATGTTAGAATCAATTAAATAGTAACTTTTAAAAAGAAACTTAAAATTAACTTGATAGAGACAACAGCGACACATTCATGCATGTTTATACTTATTATCTGTCACATAACTAACCATTAACAGTTCTTGTCAGTGGTGGCATATATAACCACAAACTAGGCGCATTATTAAATCATCGCACATTCCAGCATACTCAAGTGAAGTCAAGTCAAGAAAATTTTCACTTATAACACACATTCCATGTTTACACGTATAAATGTTGTTAGTAATAAATACAATGCCAGTAGAGGCTTTTTGAACATATACAATGAATATATAATTTTAGTGGTAAAATAGTTCGTAAAAAATACTTATGATATCTATGATCGCCACTGTCAGCGTATTTACGCTTGACAGCAGAATAAGATGATCATAAACCTGTCAGCATAATTAGATAAGATACACCTGTCAGCATAATAAGAAGATCATACACCTGTCTGCAAAATGAGATAACCATACACCTGTCAGCAAAATAAGATGATCATACACTTGTCAGCATAATTAGTTAAGATACACCTGTCAGCATAATTAGATAATCATACACCTGTCAGCATAATTACATTATACACACCTGTCAGCATAATTTGATAAGATACACCTGTCAGCATAATTTGATAAGATACACCTGTCAGCATAATTTGATGAGCATATACCTGTCAGCATAATTAGATAAGATACACCTGTCAGTATAATTAGTTGATCATATACCTGTCAGCAAAATAAGGTGATCATACACCTGGCAGCAAAATTACATAATATTGACCTGACAGCATAATTAAGTGATCATACACCTGTTAGCATAATTAGATAATATACACCTGTCAGCATAATTAGATGATCATACACATGTCAGTAAGATTAGATGATCATAAACCGGTCAGCATAATTAGATAAGATGCACCTGTCAGCATTATTAGATAAGATACACCTGTAAGAATAAGTAGATTATGATACACTGTCAGCATAATAAAATAAGATAGACTTGTCAACATTATTAGATGACCATACACCTATCACCAAGATAAGATAATCATACACGTGTAAGCATTATAATATAATCATAAACGAATCAACATTATTAGATAAGGATACACGTATCAACATAATTAGATAATCATACACTTGTCAGAATAATTAGAAAGATAACATACACTTGTCAGAATAATTAGATAGATAATCATACACTTGTCACCATAATTACATAATCATAGATATGTCAGCATAATAAGAAAATCATTAAACTGTCAGCATTATTAGATAGATGACCATAAACATGTCAGCATAATTAGATTATCATACAAACACATAAAAAGCTATCCACATGTGAGTATCGTCAAATAAGCATGCACCATGAGAATTATTAAGTAATTCTTTGATTTACTTACACCTTTACCGCGGCACATCTTTTCAACCTCAAACTTAATAGAATCAGCCACAAGCTCGTGTTTATCTTTATCAACATAAAACACAAGAAGTCTGGCATCAGGTGAGACAAGTTTTTGTAGATCCTTTGTTATTTCTACACTAGCTTGTGTCCCTGCCTCCATATATTTAGTAAAAACTACTTTACCACGTGAAATAATCTGTAATATCAACAGCGAATAATAAACTCATTATAATCATTTAAAAATCTACAACCACCATGATGATGATGATGATCATCATCATCATTTATATACCTACAGTTATCATCATCATCATTAATATGCCTACAGTTATCATCATCAACATCATCAAAATTGCACGATCATACATGTTTAACTATCATTTTACACACCACCAACACCACTTCAAACTCCATCACCACCACCATCATCATTATTAAACCAATCATCATCATTAACATCATTATCATCATCATTATAATTATCACCATCATGTTACATATAACATTAATCATCATCATCATAAATATTACTACAATCATCATTATCATAATCATCATCACCATCAGAAACATTAATGAAATAATCCCACCACCATTACTATCAAAACCACCACCATCATCATCATCATAATCATTATCATCACCATCAAAACAACCATCATCATCAACAATTTTATCATCAATATCATCATCATTTTCATCATCAAAACAAACCTTTTCATCATCATAAAAACTATCATTATCACATATTACTTTTCTATCTTCTCATTCATTTGTATTTATCTGTACAAGCTTGGTCGCCATTCAAAAATAATGTAAAAGGATTCAAACAAAAAATTTGAGTTCATGATCTTTCATATGTGTATATTTATGTGAAATTTAACATACACAAAAAAGCGATTCCGGTGTATGAATCACCTTGTATGTTTGTAAAAGCCCGCATCAACATCGTATTCTTTTCCTGGATAAATAAAATACTATTTTCAAAGTCATTCAATATCTACAATTAAAGGTGTTTTACTTATGCACCCACTTAAATAGCTGGTGAGTATCTAGAAGGTAATTTTAAATTGAATTTCAAATTAGCGATTTAGGCATATTTGGCGTCCCATACACTAGAAAACGAAAGCCGAGTTATAGTAAATACATACAACACACGCACTGTATATATAACATTGCTAACGACGCACTAATACAATCAACATCATATTACGCCGAAACAGGGATTTTACTTGCTAACCTCGTGTGTTTTAAACTTTAAAGCAACAAAAGGGGTCAAAACCACATAACCTCCTGGAGCTAAGAGATTCATAGGCTCTAGTAATTGTAACCCATTAAGTCGCCTCTTACGATCAGGCAGGGGTTATAGTTGCTGCAATTCTGATGCGTCAACTCTTAAATGGCAACCCCTCAGCCACAAGGGGAATAAAAATTAAACCTAATGTACGAAATCACGAATGATAAGCAAGAGTATCGAAAGTTTATTACTGCCCATTTATCTATTATTTCATCGGAAAAAGTCACTTATTTTTAAACTTCCAATAACAAATTAACATGAAAGATATTTCATTTTAGTATCAGTATATTTAAAAAAAACAGAATTATAATTATCTAGTTGAACAAAAAATCATCGCGGGTGTCTTTTTTATTGTAGATAAGACCACATGTAACTTCAGGTCTAAATTAGTTTGAATGAGTCACATCTACATTTTCAACGGTCATATGGTGACAATTGTCAGTTTTACTGGTGGAGGAAGACCTCAAGGCGCCAACCCCCCGTACATTATTTTTTAGGCAAAAGCGGACAACCTGATCAGAACCACCCATGTTCGGTATGGTAGCTGGTAAGTTTAAAGAGAATTTAAAATCTTTCGCGGGAATTCACGCTTGGACACGGACGCCCTATGTTGTAATTAAACATTTCATAATACTCACTGTCTTCACACGCTCAACTTGGATTTGATTTTTTCCAGCGTACGCAGCCACCTCAAACACGTCACTTTCGTATTGACTGTCAGATGTTGATACCTGTGTATTTTTTAGGAAAAATGGCACAACAGTTAATGGATAAATATATACACATGATTTTCTTACAATAGTAATGCCCTTCTTCAATTAAAAAATATGCGACATTTAAGGCAACAATTGTTAAACAAAAACAGTGAAATAGACGCTGCAAACGCGCGAAATTCAAATAGCGGGTAAAATATATCAACGCCTTGAGCGTACTTCGTCAATCTAAAATAACTTTCGCTAGAAAAAATCGTGATATTATTTTATATGTTTGACTAAGTGAGAAAGTGCCTTGTTATAATTCTCAATGAAACTTACAGTAAATGAGATTTTATTTATGTCCTGAGCCGTCTGAAAGATACTTGTTGCCCGGCCGTCGTCGTTTGTTGTCTCTTTTTCCTCTTTTTTGAATTCCCCATTTTCGCTCATTCTAACTAAAAGGTCTTTGCCAGAAGCAGGTTTTCCGTTTACATACTGGACTTCAACCTTAAAATAAAACAACAATGGTAATCTAATCCTAACATGCTGAATGATCTTTTAATCGCTTGTCGATCCTGCGAACAGTTCATTTGAAGATTAAAGGAATTCAACATGAAAATAAAAGGCTATCAACAATAAAGAGCCTGGTCAAACTACATGGAGGTGCTGACTGGTTTGGGTCTAATCTAATGGCAAAGGCTTTCAATGCTTGTTTCCATTAAGTAAAAGTTAAGGATTTCAAGTTTTCACACAGAATATCCAATTATGTAGCGAACATGGTTATCATTGACCGATAAACCCAACCGCCGTTGTCTTAGCCGCAGCTCCATTTCTGGCTCTCATATTACGAGGACGGTCGGCATGTCCACCATTTTCAATTAAAAGTTAACGACTCATTTACAATATTTATATTTGGTAACATAAACCAGTTCATGTACCTTCAAATAATATTCGTAATTTGGCCGGAAGTTCATTTTTGATTTGGTGAACTTGAACACGTATGGATTAATTGTGAAGATGGTTCCGTCGTGACTTCGAGCCTCCTCCTTTCCCGTAGCATTTTCATAAACCATTGCAATCACTTCTAGGCGTTTGTTCGAGGGAAAAGGCTTGTCTTTTAGCAACGGGGAGTTCAGTATATCATCAACTTTAATATTGAATTCTGTCACACTTCCTTCAAACTGGTCGAATTCAAGCTATAAAGAAAAACAGAAAGCGAATTAAGTAAATACCTAATAACAGATGCCATTTGTTTTCTATCAATTAGAAAACTTGTGATTATTCGTACTACAAGATAGTCCCGAGAATGAACTTGATTCAATCATTCAAAACTTTTTGGATTTATTTCTATGGGAAAATTGATTGAAAGCTATAATGACAATATAACCCTTCAATTAACATTTCATCTTCTGCCGGAAAAATTGGAAGAAATACGTCCTACTGTTCGTTTGAAGAAAATGCAAAATATGGTAACTGATCGTGAGTCTATAAACTTTTTTTTCACGGTATGTTCAACCTCATTATGCCTCAGAAATGCTATCATTTTTAATTCACTAACACTTTTTTTTGTATCTTGTTACAGTCTCAAAAATTATATACATTTGCCACATAGATGATCATTTTTATTTTTTTATTTTTTAGCAATGGGTATAATAATAGTTTATGAGTATTTTATATAGAAGTCAAAATACTACATTGTTCTTTGTTTATATATTGCTACTTTTACGACTTATTATATTACATACTAGATAGGACTGATTTTAAGAGAATATGAATGCTAGAGACATTTTATAGTACAAGTTTAATCTTGAGTGTTTTAACCTAATATGGGTATGCTGAAGACGATGAGGGTGGATACCAAGAAAATAAAATTGACATTGTTTAAATCAAATGATTATTCGATATTCTCTAAGTAAATACAATTATTCAGTCCATTTTATAACAATTTTCTTGTAATATAAGTTTAACACGTAAAATTCGCCCCAAAAAACGAGGTTAAAGAGGTCATATTATATTTTTTTTTCGCAAAGCATAAATATTATCATTTAAGGTAAAACTAGATTTCGTTTTTTTTTTAATTATTTCATATTAAAATGTTTAGTAAATGAATTTAATACTGAAGCTTTGACAGAACTTTACTGTGTTATGCAATATGGTCTTATATGTATATTTCACATGAGTTGGGTGCCGTTTTGTTTATATGAACACATGACAGTATTTGTCACAGTCTTAAGCATTGGCTTGGATAAGTTGTTTAGTCTGTTAATACGTTTTCTTATTTTCTTTACTGCTCAATAGTGTATCGAAGGCTATGCCGGTGTTAAAAATAAAACTATCAACGGGCAAATTGAAATAAATTAAAGTATTAGCAATTCCAAAAACGATAGAAATCGCCGTTCAGTTTTAAATTTAAAAAAAACAACACTGATTTCTGAACAATAGAGATAATGTTTAATCTTTAAAGAAAAATATTCCATATACTGTTTACCATTTGGGCTGTAAAAGGCCACACACTGACTTTAAGATTAGCATATGAAAAATAGTTTAATTTTATATAAAGCTAACATAAAAGGCGGATAGCGTGCTCCGTAGGCGCTCCTTTTTGAGTGTTTTTGCCTTTCAATTTCTTATCCGGTGGCATTAAAGTTTGCGTTTTGAATGGCTCATGACAGGCAGGGCTCAGGGTGAAATGGTCGAATATTGTTAATTGTATATGTTTCCATCCAGGGACATCAACAATAACAAAACAGTTAGGTAAGAGAATTGAAACCTATGATTTGTATATAAATTAGTGTTGACTGGCTGGGAGATTCGTCAGAAGACATTCCTATTGATATTACGTTTTTATGGATTCCACTGTAGAACAACAAGGCTATGAGCTGATCTCCTAGGTTGGTATAAGCTATCGGTACTTTGAGCTTTGGACATTCTTTAACAAACGCAACTGTAACGCTTTTATTTCCAAATCCCACAAGAACCAGCAGAACAATATTGAACCCCCGACAAACAGGTTATTTGATTCAGCTGAAAAAGGCCTTAGCATTTATGATGGTAGCTTCAATTATAACAAATCAGGTTTGGACTATAAGGAGTGGCTTAAAAGTAACATAAGTGAACCCAACACTATCCACCAAACCAAACCAGCGGTCTGTTATTACCAAAAAGACTACTAGTATTTGTCCATATTTATTAGGGGGGTAAATGCAGAAAAACATATAGATTAGGAGGTGTTAGCGAAAGAGTGGTGGTAAGAACTGATAAGCAATCATAACACTGTCTTCCTATAACTCTTCTACAACCCTGCACATTGATTATGCTTCAAAGGCTATAAAGAAAAATAAATACATTTTGTATGGGAAGCTCGCTCTCAGATTAAATAATGTGTGTCTTGGGGACATATAGGTTCTGATTCTACCAGTTAGTGATAATGGTTGGAATGGTAGTTATACGGCGTACGGGTTTTAGTAGCTTTCAAAAAGGTAAGTGATTAAGTCACAAATATTTCTTATTCTATAACAATTACAATGGCTTTCTTTAGGTTTTTCCAGGGATCGACTGAATAACCTTATTTTTACATGGGCTTACATGATTACTTCTGATAACTTTCTATTGTCTCATTTAAAAATTGCCAAGGCCTAGCTATTTTGTGTTATATTAAAAATTTGGAAAATATTTGGATAAAACAACATTTGCAGAACTAAGTATTCAAATTTGTTTGTAATTAAATTAATCAACCACACATGTGTGATTATACAAAGCAAATTTTTTATTTGCATTTGGTACTTATGTACATGCATACAATTTTATGTAGCTACAGTAATGGGTTGATGTGTTGATTGTGTGTTTATGCAATGCGAGTTATTTCCCTTTGTACATGAATTTAAAATACATGATTTGTTTACTTTTTCACATCAAAAATATGTTCAACTTGATATGAGTTTTGCATGTATATCGAAAATAATTGATAATGAAAGTGTTAGTATTAATGTATTGAAATGGAATAACGAAGATAGAGACAAGATAGATAATTAAAAAGAATTAATTGAGAATGAAATAACGAACATTGGCACGACTGTAAAAAGTGTAATTAGAAATGATGTTGAATTAGATATAGGTTAACAGAAAATATCAGATGTTTTGTATGAAAAATCATTCAGTATATTTGGAGAGTCAAAACAATTAAGAAATAATACAAAATAACAGAAAGAAAAAATTAAAAAGTTCATGGTTTAATCAAGACTGTGCGAACGCTAGAAAAGAGTTTAAACGTGCAAATAAAAAATATTGTAAGAACAGGTCGAACCAAATATAGAAATACTGGTCAATAAAATACGTCTTTATAGAATAGCTAAGAGGTGTGCACGTACTAAATTTCATTTAAATCAGAACAAGAAAATGTCATTTTTGGCTGGCACGCAGCTACCAAAGTTTTGGAAAGAAATAAAAAATTTAGAAAGAAATCTAGCAAAAATGAACTGTCATCGAAAGATTTTTTGAGAATTTTAAAAACTTATTTTCAAACGAAGAGACATTCAGAAATAATTTCGTTGAGGAACATTTAGATAATAATGATATATTTTACAACAATGTTGAAGAACTTGACATGGATTTCACGATCAGTGACGTGATAAAGGCTTTTTCTTCCCTTAAGAGTGGTAAAAGTGCTGGTATAGATAAACTCATTCCGGAGATATATATAAAATGGAAAACAATTTTAGCACTAATATTATGTAAACTGTTTAATCATATTTTCAATTCAAATAAATATCCTGAATCGTGGTGTAGTGGTATTATTGTACCAATGCCCAAGAAGGGTAATCTAAATGATGTGAATAATTATAGGGGTATCACCCTAACTAGTATATTTTCTAAACTTTTGTCAATATTGTTAGACACGAGGTAACGTAAATGGGCTGAAAGTAATAAAATATTGAAGGATTTCCAGTATGGCATAATTTATTGATTTCAAAAAATGTTTTGATATGTTATACAGAAATGGAATATGATTTTAATCGATTGAATCTGGTGTATCATATAAAGTTGTAACAATGTTACGTTGTATGTATAATTGTGTGAAATTTTGTGTAAGAGCAAATGGTTGCCTGACAGATACTTTTATGAGCTATTTGGGCTTAAAACAATGGGAACCACTCTCACCTCTGTTATTTATTTTCTTCGTAAATGATATGCACGAAAATTCACAAATAGATAATGTTGACACATTTTCATTAGATGATATACATCTTCTTTTACTATTATTTGCGGACGATACGGTTTTATTCTCTTATTCTAAGGAAGGATTGTAATGCCTCCTTAATAAACGTCATATATATTGTACTAAGTGGGGTATTGTGGTGAATATAGATGAAACGGTTGCTATAGTTTTTTAATTTAGAAATGGAAATGAAGATGTAGAAGTATTTTACAATAATGAGCTACTAAGCGTTGTTTAGTCATTCACCTATCTTGATGTTACATTATAGTCTAATGGGAGTTTTTTATCAAGCCCAAAAGGCTTTATCTAATCAAGCACTTAAAGCATTTTACTCTTTAATTCTTTATTTCAATTAATTGCCCTTAATGTCACAAAAAAAATCATTTTTTAATATGGTTTTACCGATTCTTACATATAGTTCAGAGGTATTGGGTTTTCATAAGTCACCAGACATCAAAAAAGTACATTTGAAATTTTTAAAACAAGTTCTTGGTTTACGTCAGCAAACTACAACATCAGCAGTTCTTGGTGAATTTGGACGATTTTATTTCCATTATTAGTTCTGCGAAAAGTCAGAATTGTAAAGTACTTAGGTTTTTCATATCTATGGAATAATGATAATATTTCACTTGTGCATGTTAATACTATTATACAAAGAATTTATGATAAGCACCTAAATCAATGATGTGCTGAACGTAATACTTTCTCATAGTTAGAAAGTTATAATTTGTTTAAAATGATTGAATTTACCCAAGGGAAATATTTTATTTGTGTTGATAATTTAAAACATCGTAAAATGCGTTCAAGATTTATGTGCTTTTCGAAAAAAATTAGCTATTAAAGAGAGTAGACATAGAAATATTGAAAGAAACCAAGGCCTCTGTACAAAATACGTTCGTACAATATGAAACAAATTGAAACTGAATATCACTTTTATTTGTATATCCTTATTATATCGAGTTAAGGAAAACATGTTTACGA